AAAAGTGGCACTACACTCAAAACTATCCACCATCAACAATTGCAAAAAGAATTCCAAGTCACAAATGGTTAATGCCTCTGTATTCTCTAGTCGCTCGAGGTTTCACCACCACCTTGACGTCGATGCATACGGTATATCAGATCTTGTGTGCTCGTATGCTTTGCTCAATTTTACCGATTATTTGTAAAGTAGCATTGATAACAGCAGCAAACCTACTTGAATCAGGCAAACACTATCAGCGATTTTGTTGATTATTTGACTGCTGAATTTCAGACGCCACCGTTAAAATTACTATGGGACAGGCGATGAGTCCATGGAAAGATTTACTAGGATATCTCCAGAAAGTGCTATTTTGGCCGAATTGATAAGCAGCAAACCAAATTAGCATTAAATGAAGGCTATCGAGTATTATCAAGAGTATAAAGTCTTACGTTCCCCCCATCATTATAAAATTATTTGGGCAAAAAAATGCACAAGCGATATCATTGCCTCAGGTCATTACCAGACATTCGATGCTCTCTCACGTAAATTTGTCTCCAATAAAGTCTTAACTTTTAGAGAGCGTAATATCTATAAATGTTAATTTGGCCTGTCACGCAGTATTATTTCCTCTTCTTCATAAACATATTTTCCTGTTGATCAGGAATGGTGAAGAATCGCTGGGGTCGATACAAATAATAAGCCCGAGGAAATGTTGCATAGGTTATTGCTTAACTAAGATTTTATTAAATTACACGGATTCCTCAGTTTCTTCTTGCAACAGCCCATCGATTCCTTGTGCAGATATTAAGCCATCTCTCCCTCCAAATTGACCTTATTTGATCTTGCAGAATGAAGTACGACGGATAAAGTAGTTCCTGCCACTGCTCAACATTACTGGAATAAATTTTCTGCAAAATTTAAGCACAGCTAAATTTGATTGAATTGACAATTTGGTCTTATGATACTTTATAATAGAACATTAAAAGTTATTAACATTCGCAGATTCTATCGAGGTAAAGTATGGCTTCATTTAGCGATTACCACATTTCTGTTTGGATCCTGCCGGTGCAAAATTATCTCCAAGATCATTTGCTTGATATCAGTTTAAATGTAATTAAAATATGCAAATAAGAAAATAGTGATTTCTCCTTACCTTCAGCCTATTAACACTACTGCTACAACCAGTGGCAATTTTGGGTACAAATAATACCATCTTTTTGCAAATAGAAAGATAATACATAGAATATGTTGGTTGTTTTTAAAATAAAAATCTGACTGCAAATCATGATACCTACCAGACTCATTCAAGTGGTTTTTTAAATTTAGTCAGCCATTTGTTTCACCTTAACGCGACATCATTTCAAACACAGTTGCAAGTAGATTTTATAAAGTGAAGGTTCACATACTTAAAGTACAAAATAATCAGTGTATGTTGATCTCAAACATTAAAGCTTTAGATTGAAACACCTACCACATATGATGCGTGGCAATAATTTGTTAATTAGTACTTTATCCTGGAAAAAGTTACCAAGTTAAAAGTTAAAACTCTAAGTTGAACTTTAAGAATCCGAACGTTTTATGGTGAAATTTATTCACTTTAATTTACAAGGCAGCAAAATACCTGATGTGTCGAGACTAGTACATAAAAATTGACAATATGCCAAGTGGAGCAAGGCTTTCGTTGGCCTTTTTCGTTTTTTTACCAAAAATGCCTTATGATTCTTTCACTTTAAGTGTATTATCATTTCGTATTATCTAATTATCATTAAGATTTGAAAATCACTATATTATATAAAAAATTTCAGTTATACAAAACATTGATTTTATTTCCAAATAACATGCGATGCTAATAATGGTGCTTCTTGGATGCTGTCTAACAGAAAAGCAAGAATTTTTGTACCTACAACTTTTCAGAAAAATTTATTTTTAGTAAAGTTTGCACCAACAACTTTTGCCCTTCGACAAAATAGATGATTTAGTTTCTTTTATTATTTTTATAGTCAAAACGTTTGTTTAATCATGCTCAAGTGCTCTACTTCTGCAAATGTATTTTCAATAATTTCATAAATTATTTGGTGATCTATGCCTTCTCAGTTCCATCAAACTACTTTACAATGGCAGTATTGGATTGGCTACCCTCTTATTTGCTTTAAAATTTCAGTTTTCTTTATTAAGCTGCCTGATATTTTATTTTTTACGCAAAGGCTCGTCAAAACTGAACGACTTAAACACAAGGAATTAGTCATTATGACTAGTGCTCAAAATTGGTACTTTTTATTTCGGTTCTGAAAATGGGTTTGTCTTAGAGGAAAGCAAGTTTTTCTTATCTTTGAGACACCTAATTTTTGAAGCTTACGTCAGATGAAGAAATATCTGAAAGTTCCAGAAATGATCTTAAAGCTATCATAATAGTGGTGGAATCTAGTTTTAATTAAGGCACCTACTCTTTAAAGCCATGCCTGAAGCTACGAAAAAAGGCGCATATTTTTAGGGTTTGACTGACTTTTTGTGCTGCAAACAAATGGTTTCTTCTGCATTACTTGATGTAACCTGATTTTCGTATACTCAGGTTATGGCAAGTAAACGAACTGAACTGGTATTAGTCCCTTTCGTCACCAAGAAAGTGGGCTGTATCTTATACACCAGACCATGATCACCTTACCATACTATTTATTTGAGAAAAATAACCTAGTAGAACACGGTTGGCAACCACTTTTGGAAGTGAACATTTTTCTCCAATTTGTATTCAAAGTAAGTGCTCAATTTTGAGTTCATTATTAGTTAAGCACATTTCAAGGCCGGAATAGAAAAATAAACACCTTTAAGTAAAACAGCCTAAACTGCAGCTACTGCTCTCCAAATGGCATTCGTCCTCTCTGATTTGGACGCTCATTGTATCCGACTGGTGGAAAGCAATGGAATATATAGGGCTAAAATAAAACACACGCAGTAGAATGAATGCCCAACCACTTCATTCATCATATTTCCGCTGTGTGATTATTACGCGTAATCAGATGTGGAAATATAATTCGAGCTACTCCTCTTTTCATTCCACGTTAAGTTTTCAGCATAAGCCCTTAGATCGTTCATCAAGTAGAGAAATTTCTACTCCCAAAGTGGAGAATTGCCAAACATAACGGCTTGCTGGTAGCATGGCAAGGTCAAAGCATTACATCAAACCTGTAGATTTAAAATTATTGGCTTAAAAAGAATAATAATAATAATAATAGCTAGATATTTGCTCCTACAATTACGCATCTGATGAAAACATGATTCTGCTCGAAATTGGCCCAAATTGAGCCATTAAATTGTCCGTTAACTGAAGATTCCTCACTATTTAGAGCTTGTTGCATCAAGAAATATGAATTTGTTACGAATCCCTGGTTATAAAAAATTTGAAAACTTGTATTTATGCAATTAAGGACTGTTTCTAGACCGGCTCTATTTTATGACGCGCAAGTAAAATTTTATTTGCTCTGAACAATTTCGTACTCCTGACTACAATCACATTATATTATTTTAGGGAAAGTAGTTTTAAAGCAACTATCCAAGTAGCAGTTACACTCCTGACATTTTATAGACTTTTTCTCTCACCGGATCATTTAAAGAATTTTTTCCTCGCTAAACAATCTCATGATCCTTCGATATCTGCAATTATCTTCGAAAATACGCCTCTTCGGTTCTACGAAAAGAGGGGAATTATCAACCCATCGCAGGAGAAAGTTAAACTGTTTTTGACCCTGATCTCAGCTGTAAGTGATGAGTTTGGGTTTAATTTTAAACAAAAGTTATAAGTTATCAGAGTGTGAAAACTTTCCCTGGATTTACCTAATGCCACCAAGTTGTGATTTTTGCGAGCAACGTAAGGCCAAATAATTAAATTTAAGGTCCGGGATACTTGCAGTTTCCCAAAATTAAATTTATTAAAAGAATGTCTGGAATCCAGGAAGAAGGAATTGTTAAAGTTAGTGGTTCTGTCATGGCCTTATGGAATGCGATCGACTTGCAAAAATATCTTTGAATTCAAATAATGCTAAAAATCATGCCATAATATTCTTTACTGGCCGTTTCAACTTCTTGTCTCCAATTTTTTATAATTTAGTCACTATCTGAGAAACTGCATTAGCCTTAAATTTTACTACTTAAAACGTTTTTTTGTGGGACATTTAAACGCCAGGACATTTGTGTCAGAATGAAAAGCGACGCACTTGATTAGAATCCAATCCCCAAAACTGCAACTCTTCCTCGAACAACGGACCGCAGACATCCACTGGATAGTGTAGCTTTCCCGTCCGATAGTAGTTTAATACTTGGGCGAACACTGCCGGGTGTCGGTCGAAGAAGTATTCATTTAAGAGAGGATCATAATTGGCCAGTGCCTCCGTTAGCCGTGATAACCGAGTAGCAGGGATCTTCTTCAGCGTTGATTTATACGTTTCATGACGAACTCCACCGACATTTAAGATAACGCGATTATTGCTGCTGACACCACTAACACTGCTGCCTCCGGTGTTGTTGGCTATGATGCTGGTGCTGTAGTTGTGTGCTGTGCTCTCCATAAATTTTTTTTAGTTTTTAAAAACTAAATAAAAATGAAATCAAAAGTATTTGATCAAAAGATTACCTATGCATCTATTTCCTAATAAACCATGGAAAAGCATGCAAAATGTTTCATAAAATCTGTCACTTTGTGTTAAAAGAGGGTTTGATTTTGTCTCAGTAACAGAATGACAGATACGAAATGATAATTTGAAAATTTTCCAAATGATGAATAGACATAAATTTAAGCATACCAAAAATAAGATATTCTTGCATTTTGTTTCGAACCTATTTAGGATTGGTTAACCTTGTCAAAGGCAATTTAGTACTCACACCTTAGTTTTATTCATGATGAAATTTCAAAGTATTTTACCATTTGTGAGGTTATGAGAACTAAAATTTAAGTAGCCTAATTCGTGTAAATGCCAGAAGCCACTCAATCATTAAAGTGAGGCGACAACAGTTAGAGTAGAATGCTTGAAGTAATAAAAATTTGGAGTCACTTCAGCGGACAAAAAGGATTACTTTAAATGCTTTTGTTCCTTTTTTCAATAAAGTATGGTTAAGCATGCATTTAACCAGACATAGGGTAAAGACTCGGGATTCACCATACATCTTGATACCAAGTGTGTTTCAGTGTTAACTTATTGCGTAGTTGAGTAATTTTATAATAAAAACTGTTGTCAAATTTGCGACTAAAGACTGAAGAATTGGTCGTGTCACCAAAGTGGATGACGATTTGTTGGGAACCTACACAGAGCACATCGATGCACAGTTAAAGCATTTGTCCTTCGATTTTGCATACCAGGTACCTTATTTTATTCTAGAATGTTAACTTTGTTTTTTTATATTTTAAATATTCCTAGCAACTGATTAGCCTTTCTTGTCAGTCTTTCCATGGGTGCACATTTTATTTGTCCGCATTATATAGCAGCATATATCTTTGATGCGTAGCAGTATTACGCTTCCCCTTGATTTGAATCACTCTGGTCTCAGGATTTGTCTTTTCGCATTCACTGATTCAAAACTTAATTTAGCTTATTTGCTTGGCTATTTGACTAGCGACTTGGTATATACTTTTGAGTTATTCTTTTAGAAAATGTCCATTAAGTTGTGCAATTATCCCAAGGGAACGTTATCTAGATAACAAAGATGTTCAAGATTATTTGCTCTGTCAGAATTATTTGAAATATTTCCATCTGAACACTATTCAGGCCATCTGTTACTCTTAAATTATTGAGCACTTTGGGTAAAGATAATAATAAACGGGTAAAATAGTCGCTCAAAAATAAAGCATTCCAAAATTCTTTTGACTTGCATGCCTGCTCCTGTTTTAAAATGCAAAAGTCAATTACATTTAAATTTTCTCGAGGAAAGGGCAAGTTCTGAAAAATTGCGATATATAACTGAAAGTAACCGTGCAAAGCCAATTAGATGGAAAAAATAGACCAGTTTTAAATTCTAAATGATTTTTTGTGCAAACGAATGCATATAAGTAAATTATTCACATTACTCAAGCGCCACTATTAAAGTTGTTTGTGTGGCTTTTATTCATCCACCTGGTTAAACAATATAATCCACTTCTGCTCGAAATGATGAGTGGCAGAGCTCAATGCGGACTTATTTTCCATATTCTGTCTATACGTAGGTTTCTGAA